CTGGACCCTAACTACTTTCTGTGCTCAGTTGTTACCTTTCTGTATCTTCTGAGCACCTTGGGAACAGACCACAACACCAATGATTCAGGCCAAATGTCCTTGGTCCTCCTCATTCATAGTGGGCAGTGGTTCTCAACCTTCCTGATACTGGGAACTTTAATACAGTTTCTCATGTTGTGGAGGCCCCAACCATAAAATTATCTTCATTGCTACCTCATTTTTGTTACTATTATAAATCATATTGTAAATATCCGTGTTTCCCCATCTTCTTAAGTGGCCCCTGAGAGAGGGTTGTTTGACCCCCTAAGGGGTCACCGCCCACAGCTTGAGAGTCACTGTTGTACAGGCTGGCCCCCTGCCTATAGATCCCATCCCTGGATCCTAGCTACAAACTCAAGACCCACACCATAAGTCGGGCTTTTGCAGGATGGTCTAGCCTACACTTCCTATGACTTTTAACCTTTTGATATTTTCCTTTCTGTTGAGCTGGGTTGTATAAGCTCTGTCTTGACTAGACTCGAATCATGTCTATCTCTGTGTTGTCTGTCTCCTGACCCTGGAATCCTGCTCTATGTGCATCTCAGAGCCTCAATGGCATTGAGTGTGACAAAATGGCACTTGCCCTGCAGCACTGTCCGTGCTGCCGGAAGCCCAGGTGAACATTCGTTTTCTAAGTTAATGTAACCTCCTACCACTGTTAGGAAATCAAGTCTTGATCCTTTCCTCTAGTGACAATGACAAATTTCCATTGTGAAGTATGAAATGCCAGCATGATATAGACCCCAGATACAGCAGGACCCGGATCAATGTTCAGAAATTATGCTATTGGCTCACAGACTCCATTCCAACTTCTCTAGCTAAAAAGATACTAGCATACTTAATTCTCAGCAGATTTTTCAATGCAGCATAAAACACATGGGTCTAGATGAGGACCGAGATGATCTGGGTTGAACACAGTAGGTGGAATTGAACTCCCACCTTAAAGACTCGTATTCTCCTCTGCTCTGCCTCACTGGCCAGATTTCTCCAGCTCCCTGGCTGTTTTCTCTTGACCTTGATCTCTGAAGGTTGGGGCCCCTGAGTACTAGGATCCCTCTTTTCTCTCTGTCCGACAGTTGCCATGGTGACCCTGGACTTGGGAATTTAAATCTCTATTTGATGACTCTTAACTCGATCTCCAGCCTTTATCTCTTCCATTCCAGATTTCCTGGTAAAACAGCTGGAAAAGCACAGCAGAGAGATGGGGGAAAGTGGGTCATGAACGAAGACTTAGGCACACACTAGGAGCTAGACTTGAAAGAGGTAAGATGTAAGCCCTTTGGCATCAGTGACTGTAGGCAGAGATCCCAATACCTGTACTGATGACCACGCCCAGCTGGGTGTGGTCACAGGTATGTAGAAGGGTGTAGGGAGAGAAGGAGCCAGGCCCCTCTCTCTCTCTCTACTTCTCTGTCTCTCTTTCTCTCCCTCTCTCTCTCTCTGGGTTCAGCCAGCTTTTGGAAGCATCTGGGACCCGACTTCTCGAAGTGCCAAATCTGGTTACTGATTCCTTGTGTGAGTATATTTTCCCAATAAATTGCCAGCTAATAACCTATCTCGGGTTCGATATTGTTCCTCATCAAGTGACTACAGGTCCCTGTATCCTAGCACCTTGGATCATGCCTGATGCTTTACAAATATCTGTGAAAAGAGGGGTGGACGCTTGGCGACTGGACTTCTGGGAACTTTGTATTCCTCTGTTGAGAGCAACATTATTTCAAATTACCCATCGGCTTTCCCAAGTTGCATCTCCAGACACTGGGGAGCTGTGGACGCATCTGGCATGGGTCATGCCCATCCCTCCAGTGCACCCTGGTCAAGGTTTGGCAATCACACTTCCGCACCAGCGGTTTCCATCTGAATCGGACGAGATAGCTTGAAGGTAAACACAAGCGAAAGGGTGCCCTGAGTGACACAGAGAGCAAAAATCGCCCCTCACTTGACAGAGTATGGGTGGATCACTTTGGCAGATGAGAGTTCAGTTGGAGTTCATCATATTTAATTATGATTGTCGTTGTGATGTACTAATAGAAAAACAAAATGGGAATTATGCACAGTACCATGAATAAGGATTTAAGAGGCATCATCATTGTAGCTACATAATTACAGAAATGCTTTTTGATTAGTTGATCAGGGGAAGAGGAGCATGTTAGGGGATAGAAAATGTGACTGTATTATCTACTGAAGGTGGCATGGGAGCTGCTAGGATTTCTGAAAGTAGCAGGAACTATAGAGAAGCCTCCCTAGACCTCAATGGAATAACTGATACCACGCCACCCGTGGGGACCGAGACACTCAAACATCCATAAAAACAACAGCAACTCCAAATGTCAAGCAGACATACTGGCCTGACCTCAAACAGAGTGAATGAATGATAGCTGCTTGAGGATGAAATCCAGTCTGCCCCTGGGGAAGGAAGACAGAGGGCGCTCTGGATACACCAAGCTGGAGTACCCAGTGGTTCCCAGTGAGTCACTACAATGCGAGCAGCTCTTAGGTTCAACAGAAGAGAGAGGGTTCAACAATGAAAATGTATATGTTATCATTCTTAAAATATGCTGTGAGCTATTGCCCAAGGACAGTGCAACAACATTGAACACTTACTTCCGGGGCTGGCTCCTCTGTCCGTCCCCTCTCCCCCACCCCGAGACAGGGTTTCTCTGTGTCGCTGTCCTGGAACTCACTCTGTAGATCAGGTTGGCCTCGAACTCAGAGATCTGCCTGCCTCTGCCACCCCCACCCCATCCCCCAACCCCACTGCCTGTAGTGGCATCTTGCCTTGCAAGTCAACTAGTGGTGATGGCCACACCCTTTGGGTGTGGTTTCAGGTGCAGACATGACCCGTTAAGGTAGAGGAGGGTCTGACTCTCTGTTGGGTTGTGGAGAGCATAAGACGGGCAGAGAGACTGCATATTCTGGGCCAGGAAGACCACAGCAGTTACTTACTCGAATCTGTGTAAGTGCTTCCCTAATAAATACCCATTGACCATAAACCCCACCTTCAATTGCCTGGCTTCCTCTGTTAAGTTTGTCAACAGAATTCGGAGCGAGACCCTACACACTGCAGATGGACCACTGAGAACCCATTGGAGACATAGGAGGCAGGGCTATGCACCCAGTAGGGTTGAAACTTTGTGGTTAATGTGCTTTAACATGAGCCTGGATCTCTTAATCCATAACATAGGACCACCACCCACTCATCTCCAGGGCTGTAAGAATTAAACTATGGCACCCAATTGATGCTCAATAAACATTACCAGCCGAACAGTGTTGAATGGTTAGATAAGGCAAAGAAAGAGCACAGGTTGAGTTGCCTCTCAAAATGTTGGAGGCTAGACATCTTTTATAGTTTGAAGTATTTTGGTTGGGCACTCCTAGCTATAAAATTTGACATTTGAGGAGTCCTAGTGTTTCAGATTCTGGAACAGCTCGGGCCTCAGAGTCAGTATCCTTCCAGCATGCAGCAATGATCTGGAAACAAGTAACAGCAAGCCCTCTTCTTTTCTCTCCGTCCTTAACATCCCTGTAGTAACACTTGCCTACCTCTGTGCTACAAATGTGCCTCACTGAAGGGACCAGCCCCTCACCCAGCCCCCTGCTTTAGCAGCCATGACAGGCTGCAGGAAAGACCTGTAGGCCTCTGACTCAGCACATGTCTGACCTTGCTGGGCCTGCCCTAGTCACCAGGAGGTCAGATGCCCTCCTGTGTCAATGAACCAATCAGAAGTTAGCAGGCGGGTCTCGGCTCTGAGTGTGCTTTACGGTACAAGTGCACAACAGTGACACGCAGAGCATAGCCCTGGGAGGGCCTACAGGCCATAACAACCAGTGGACCAATCAACACAAGACAAGTCGTCCAAGCCCAGAAGCACAGCAATCCGAGACTGTTGCTTACCCCTAGACACTCCGCTTACACTGCTCTGTAAGTTCCACACCTTGAGGTTTTCTCAGGGTCCTCCCACCCGCCACAACGAAAGGACATAGGGCCTGAGTTAATGCAGTTGACTCGTTAAACAACAATAAAAGCCTCTTTGCTTTTGCATCAGAATGGGCCTCTTGGTGATTCTGGGATTCGGAATGTGGGCGCAACCTTACGTCCGCTGTCCAGCTTTCCAGCTGACATGAATGAGGACATGGATAGAGATGTGTGTGGGTGTCTCTCCCACACCAAAGAGCCAGCTCCAGCTTCTGCCTCGCCTTTGCTTGATATTGGCCATCAATCCCGTGGGTCAGGACGGTATGGCAGTTAAATGACTCTCTCACACTGCCACCTTGAGAAAGGCATTGACAAACTGTAATGCTGGAGATGGAAAATACCCATTCCAAGGACTGAGTCCAAGTCATCCTCTCGATTTTCTCTTATCTAGAAAGAAAATTATGCTTATCACTGCAAAGATGCAAGGTGGTTTAAAAGCTTTGGCAGCAGTGTCCCGGAGCTATATATCTCTCCGGGAAGCTGTTCTGAGTTCTCTGTAAAGAGCAATGTGACTGTGTTCTCCTGACAACGTAGCAGTTGCTTAATACCGAACAGAGGAAGGAAAGAAGGGCTTTGAGAATAGCTTAGGGAAGGCTCATATTTTCAATCTTTGCTGAAAATTACAGTACTCTAAATACACAAAACTTCCAGGGATAAAATCCATTTGAAATTAAAGAGCTTTTTTTCTGTGTTTGGTAAGGAATTAATAACATGGCGTCTGTTCATTCAGGAAACTTGAAATATCTGAATTTCTGTTACTTTTGCCTTTTCCTTTTATTTCCTTCATGTCTCTTTCCTTGTTAAAGCTCTTCCTTGAATGGCGTTTAAGTGTAAATTTTAAGGATGTTTTAATGTCTCATCTTCTTATTTTAAAAGTTCTGGGAAGGATTAGTTACCTATATTCAAAAAATATTAAAAATATCATTTCCACATCCCTTTAGATTTTATGGTCTTTTATTTTGTATTTGAATTTTTAAAAATGTTTTATGTGTATTCATGTTTTGCCTTCAAGTATGTCTGTGCCCAGGAAGGCCAGAAGAATGGACATGATACCTTGGAACTGGAGTTGGAGTTGGCTATGAACCTTCTTGTAGGTGCTGAACCTAAAACCCTGAACCAGGGTCATCTGCAAGAGCAATAAGTGCTCTTATCAGTTCTGCCATTTCTCAAGCCCCAATAATTGTTTATTTCTAAAGGCACTTATTTTTATCTTCATGTGTGTGTCACATGGGTGGAGGTACCTGTGGAAACTAGAAGACAGTATTGGGTCCCTGAGAGTTGAAGGTACAGGAGGTCACCAGCCACCTGATGAGACTGTTGGGAACAGAACTTGGGTCTTCTAAAAGATCAACAAATGCTCTTAACATCTGGGATTTCTCTCTTAGCTCCAAACAAGCCCCTTGGTTCCTTGAATATTCAGTTTCCTGATCTTTAAAATGAGGGAAAGCCACCACCCTTGCCTCACTTAACAGTGTGGTGATGGGGGATGTTATTCTGTATCCGTTTCTCTTACTGGTTGATGAATAAAACACTGATTGGCTAGGCAGGGAGATAGGCAGGGCTAGGAGATGAGGAGAATTCTGGGAAGTATAGGCAGAGAGGAGTTGACATGTAGCCGCCAAAGGAGTTACAGGTCTGGATTCTTCTCTGGTAAGATAAGATCATGTGGAAATACTTAGATTAATAGAAATGGGTTAATTATTAAGACAGGGCTAGCCAATAAGAAGCCCTAGTCATCAGCCAACAATTTCATAATTAATCTATATTATGTGTGTTCATTTGGGGCAAGGTGGCTGCAGAACCAGGCGGGAAATACTGCAACAGTGTGGTGTGCCTTCAGGAACACTCATTGGTGTTAGAACTGCCTCTACTTATGGCACAGAACAGCAAAAACACCTGGGATCCTTGCTGTCACTGCTTGTCACCTGTCAGTGTCAACATTTCTAAATAAACCCCACAGCAAACTCAACACCATTTTAAACACCATCTCTGTTGACTTAGATATACTGTACAAAGAACTGTAGGACCAGGATGTGGCTCAGAAGGAGATGCAGGCTTCGGATCTGTCCTGGGTATCACCCAGCATGGAAAAAAAGAAAGAAAGGAAGGAAGGAAAGGGGAAAGATAAAAAATAAATTTGTAGTGTTTGGGAGGAATTTAAAGTGTTTAAGAGTACTGGTTTACCTATGCAAAACCTTAGGAAATTATTTGAAAAGTGGAGTGACGCCTGCTGGGAAAAGAGTGTAAGAGCCTACTCTGTGGGACCAGCCCAACAGCCTTGGGAGACTTCATTAGTGCAAACGTACAGGGCTGCCTCCCCACTCTCAAAACACAGAAATCTAAATTTTTTCACCTAACTTTTTTTTTTACAATATTTTAGTGTATTTGGTGAAATTAAAAAAATATTTAAATGTTTGTACAAACAGTATATGAAAATGCAAGATGAATTAAAAACAAATATCCCTTTTTTGTTGATGTTGTTTTCGAAACAGGGTTTCTCTGTGTAGCTTTGGAGCCTATCTTGGCACTAGCTCTGTAGACCAGGCTGGTCTCGAACTCACAGAGATCCTCCTGCCTCTGCCTCCAGAGTGCTGGCTGAGAATAAAGGCGTGCCCCACCACCGTCGGACCAAATACCTCTTTCTTGTCACTGAGCTGTTACAAAGACTGTGGGCTTTCGTTTCAGAATCAGTTATGGGAAAGCAAAGAGACGGGACAGGCATTTATTAATTCTGACATTTAAAAAAATCTTATTTGAGGGTGGAAATGTTTAATTTCCAGGTGAGGAAGCAGAGCCTGAAGACAACGAAGAACTCGCTCTGGCCATACTGCTAGGCAAAGGGGGGGGGGAATCATCTCAGATCTCCCTTCCCCAAAACTCCACCCGAGAAAGCACCTTGCAGATTTTTAGCTCAAGGGAAGCACAATTTCTGGAGGCAAAGCTGCTGACTTAAGGTCCCCAAAGGTGTGCAGACAGGCCACGCCCCCCAGGCAGCTCCCAGCCAATGACTGTGTGGCCTGGTTCTTGGATGGTGAATAGGTCCCTACCCTGGGCGGGGGAGTCAAGCAACCTGTTAAGAGACACATCTGCAAGCCTCCAGCTAGAACTTCTCTCACTGAAAGCTGGGATGTGCTCTCTGGTCAATCTTGACCCCCCCCCCCCCAGGAGCATGTTGAACCAACTCACTGTGACATGATGCCACCACCAGGAGCAATAAATAACAAACCAGGGCGTCTACAGGGCTCTGGTCCCTGTGGCGGGACTGGCTCACCTGGTCTCGCTGCTTGATTCGGTTGTAGATGTATTCAGCAAACGGTTTGCGGGGAATAAACTTCCCATCTCCTGCTGCGACGTTGTAAACTCCTGCTTCATACACCACTCTGCCTCTTGAAATCGTCACCAGGGGCACCCCGTGGCAAACCATGCCCTCGAAGATGTTGAAGTTAACGGCCTGATGGTGAGTTTTGGCTGAGATCCTCCTGCGTTTGTAAAACCAGAACAAAGTCATATCATCACTGGTGAGTAGAGAACGCTACAAGAGGGTTGATTTAGGAGAAAACGCGGCAAACTCCACGAGGCGGGGTTTTGCTAAGGTACCAGGAGCTTCCAGAACAGAACAAACCACTCACGTTTTATTGCAAAGTTATTATATTCTGGAAGAGGAAAACCCAAGAAGCTGGAGGGAGAAGGGGACACAGGCCCACCCCTACCATGAAGCAGTCTCCAATTGATAACCACCTGCAAATGAAAATTTAGTTTTCTGCAAGGGGGTCTAACTGGGGAAACAAAGTCCTCTTGAGGGGGCCGCATGCCCAGCAGGAGACGGACAACAGAGAAGGAACTCCAGCATATTTAGGGGAGATTCCTCGTCACATTGGGGATCTTTCCTTTTTTTTTTTTTTAAAGATTTTATCTCGAGCTTTATTTTAAAATTTTATTTTTTTTAAAATACACTTTATATAGTTTTTCTTCTCGCCTTTTACCCTATAGGTCCTTTCCATACGTATATTATGGCTTCCAGTTTAGTGTTTTTATGGGATGCCTGAATGTGTGACTATGTGTCTGTTTCTTCCAGCTTCTCTTGAGCTCGTTTCCTTTAGTTTGTTTTGTCCTATTATGGATATGTTAGTTTTTGTCCTATCTTATTTTATTATTATCCCTTAGAAGCCTGTTTGTTTTAAAATGAGAAACAGAAAGGGAGTGGATCTGAATTGGGGGGGCTGGGAGGAGTTGAGGGAGGGGAGACTGTCGTCTAGGG